TATAAAAGATTCATATACATAACATATATGTGTGTGTGTGTGTGTGTGTCTGTGTGTGTGTGTCTGTGTCTGTGTGTCTGTGTGTGTGTGTGTGTGTGTGTGTGTGTGTGTGTGTGTGTGTGTGTGTGTGTGTGTGTGTGTGTGTGTGTGTGTGTGTCTGTGTGTGTGTCTGTGTGTGTGCGTGTGTGTGTGTGTGTGTCTGTGTGTGTGTGTGTCTGTGTGTGTGTATGTGTGTGTGTGTGTGTGTGTGTGTGTGTGTGTGTGTGTGTGTGTGTGTGTGTGTGTGTGTGTGTGTGTGTGTGTGTGTGTGTGTGTGTGTGTGTGTGTGTGTGTGTCTGTGTGTGTGTATGTGTGTACATATACATATATAAACATATATATATACATATATATACATATGTACATATATATACATATATTATTCCATACACTGAAAGTGCATCATAAGTCATAACTATAAGTTTCTTAAAATATTTTACTAACTTATTTCCTAATTCACATTTTAGTAAAAACAAAAGCAGAAAAAGAAAATTCCTTTTTCCACAAGAAAAGTAACGAATTATGAACCATTACACATATTGCCCAACTTGAATCAACTTCAGCAATTACACTAGTCTGATTTCAGAGCATATCATTGCAAAAAATCCTCCATTGTTATCTTGGGCATTAAACAATAAGTAAAGCCAATGTCTTCTGTCATGTCTTTAGCACCTTTCCCTTTGTAAAACATGATACTAGGCTTATTCCAGCCAAGTACACAGAAGTCACACCTGATTCCCTGTACTGCCAGACAAGCCTGAAAATCACAAAGTACAGTAAATATATAGTATGAAATTGGAAAAATATTCTGTCACCAATTTTGCTTTGATTTGTATTATTCTTATTTTTTTATGAATATTGGTTATATCCAATGTTCTACTGTACACTTTAGTATTAATACACTCATAAGTGCACATACATACATACACACATACATACACACATACATACACACATACATACACACATACATACACACATACATACACATACATACACACACATACACACATACATATATACATACATACACACATACATACATACACACACACACATACATACATACATACATACATACATACACATACATACATACATACCTATATGCATGCCCAAACACACACACACACACACACACACACACACACACACACACACACACACACACACACACACACACACACACACACACACACACACACACACACACACACACAGTTAAAATACTCTCTACTACAAAAAAAATCATAAGGAAGGAAATAAAGGGGAAGATCAATTGCAAGAGAGGTAATTATAGAAGCCTCTAAGATTTCTTTGATGAAATAAGCTGGGAAACTCTCCTGGATGAAGAGAACCTTGCTATATAATATTCAAAATTTTGCTGTTTACAAAAAAAAAAAAAAAAAAAAAAAATGTATCAAGATTCAAAACTGAAGCAAGAAATGGCCAAATCTGGTTCAATGATTAAATGCAACAAAATGAAAGAAAACAAGCAGCTCCTTTGGAAAAGATTCAGAAGACATAGATCTCAGGCAGAGTATGAAAGATCAAATCCATGCCATCAGAGACAATAACATTGTTTATACTAAGGAGGAAATGTGGAAAATCTTTAATGACGAACTTTAGTCAGGGTTTGTTCAGGAACCATACCTTGAAATGACAAGTAACCATGCAAATATAAATCAGAATATTGAAAATATTACACTCAAAAGAATTAAACAAAAGACATACAAAAAGGATTGGACAACACTAAAGCAAGGGGACCAGATGAGATTTTTAACTGGGTTCTTAGGGAATATGCTGAACTATGTACTTCCTTATTGTTCATATTCCAGAATTCAGTGTGACAAGAAAAACTAACAAAAGATTGGAAACTCACCAATGATACACTTTCATATAAGAGCAGTGGAAAACAAAACCCTCAACATTATAGACCATTATTGTATATGCAAGCTGTTAGAACGTATAATTAGGAAACAGTGGGTTGAATTACTTGAAAAACACAATATGTTATCACATACACAATTTGGTTTAGGGAAGAAAGGTCATATGTAGCAAATCTCTGCTATATTACAAGAAAGAGATACCTGGGTGGATTGTATATACTTAGAATTTGAAAAGGTATTTGATAAGGTGTTTCACAGAAGACTATTATGTAAATTATAAAAAATAGGTGGAGTGAAAGGCAAACTCTTCAAATGCATGAAAGACAGAGGAGCACCATAATTAGAGGGAAGCATTATACATGGCGACGAGTAATTAGCAGAGTACCTCATTAATTGGTTTTGGCAACAACTATGATTCTATTTTCTTCTATTGATTAAGAGTTAAACATAAGCCCAAATAGTTAAGGTAGTTAATTGAATATAGTTGCAGACAACACAAAATTACAAAAAAGGATAATCGACAACATCTCATGACATTGAAAACTTATTTGTGTGGAGATGCACTTGCAAAATGGAATATAACACCAATAAATCCCATACAGTCAGTTTTGGAGAAAGTTAAAAATCTTTCACTATACCAAATCAAATTAGAAGACAACATATTTAAAACACTGGTAAGGAAAAGACCTTGGATTAATCATAAACATGAACCTAAGCCCAAATGATCATATAAATGAAAAGGTCCATAAAATACTAAGGATGACTGCCAACACTGAAGAGGGCATTCATATATGCAGTTGAAGAAGCCGTAAAGAAGATCATTACAGCCATCATAAGATCTAGTCTAGAGTACAGTACAGTGGTATGGAGTCCACACTTAAAAAAAGGATATAGACAAACTGGAAAGAGTTCAAAGAGCAACCACAAGATGACACCTAATCTAAGAGATATAAGCAGTAAAGATTGACTAAAGAAAATAGGACTTGCTACTTTGGAAGAAAGAAGGAAAAGGGGTGACATGATTATGCTGCTCTATAATATTACAGGAAGAGTGTAGTTAGACAAATAACTTTGTAATTTTGAACACAATGGCTAGAGGGCACAGTAAAAAGATGAAAGATAAAGAGACAAGAAAAATGTCAGTTCAGTTTCCCAAACAGACATATTGAAACATGGAACAATCTTCCAAATAATGTTGTGCATGCTAAAAATGTACATCAATTTAAAAAGTTATATGATAATTCAAATATGGTGGATGGGACCATCTGATCTTTACTCTTCTCCCATACTGAAACAACTTGATAAAAAACTTGGTACAGAAACAAACACACACACACACACATAAAAATAGAGATTTTCTACGGTTCAAAAATAAGCAACAAATACTTTAATCTTATACAAATATAACATGTAAAAAAAAATAATTATTTGATTAACAAAATGACATTAACTTGTGCTATAATATCTACAATAACATATCACAATCCATGTATCCTTGATACATGTAGGGAAAAAATACATCTTAAAGGAAAGAAAAGAAAGAAATATATTCCAGACATGCACTAAACTCCTCACCTCTAACACTTGCTTCCACAGTGCTGTACCAATACCTTTCCCACGGTATGAAGGTGCCACATAAAGGTCTTCCATATACACACCTCGACCCATCCAGTTATATGTATGGAAAAAGAGTGTGTATCCTATGAGGTGATCTTCATATTCTGCTACAAAACACTTATAGAACACTTTATCTCCAAAACCATCATCTTCCAGTGCTGTAAATCCAAAAGTTTAGATTAGTAACAAATTATTCCACATCTCACTCATGTTATAAGATGCTCAGTATTATAAAGGTAGGACCATTCCTTTTTACTTAAAATTCTCTCACCCAATACCATTTTTTTTTAATGTCATCCAAGTACAAAGTATTCATACATTTAGTTACTAGGAGCGATAAAATTTTGCTAAAATATGATTCTACTTATAATCACCCTTGGCATCAATCTGAGGCTTGTCTGGCACATTTTCATACTCAGCTAAGTCCTTTATCAACTGATTAATGCCAGTACAGTCAGCTGAAGTTGCTTCTCTTACCTTAACACCCTCTGGTATCTTGTTCCTGTTATTCAAAAAAATGTTTGAAATAATTTCAGAGACTTTCTTCACATCTTTATAATGGTCTATGATATGATACAACTGAATCATTATCAACTTCATTTGCTAAAAAGGATTATTCATATATATGAATGTACAGGTTTCAACTTATCTATGTTTGCTCTGTCCATTTTCAGTGTCCCTCTTGCTTAATATTTTCAGGGGCTAGTTTCTAGATACTCCAGATGGGTAATTCCTCCCTGTTGTATTCCTATATCAAATTTATCCTTATAATGCCATTGCTTTAGTTATTCAAATTTAAAACTATTATATATGTATAGAAATATTGTATGAAAATAAATCCTATTTTGTATGTAACATAAAAATGTAAAATAATACTCACATCTTAGCAAATTTCTCCATAGCTTCTTGTTCCATCCTGAAGTACCGATATCCATTAGTTTTAGTCATATTTATTGCTTTGTCATGATAAAACTCATATTCATTTTCTCTTAAAGGAGGAAAGTTACACTGTTTACATCCTTCTTCCAGAGCAATCTGAAAGACATGAATGGATACTCATTCTGTTAAATTATTCAATCATGAAGCATAATCTCTTGTAAAGACATAATACTATTCATCACGGCTATATACAGCAATACAAAATATAATTTCCAAAACTCAGGTACCTTAACCAAGTTCCTCCATAATACCCGAGCTATAGTGTCCCACTCTTCATTCCGTTTAACATGCAAGTCCTCCACACAGATAGTGCGTCCTTCCCAGGAGTAGCAATAATAATGAAGGACATAGCCAACCAAGCTGCCTTTCTCCTCAGCAACCAAAAAATTGAAGGTAGAACTTGAACCAAAAAGATCTTCTAATCCTGGAGATGAACAAAGGAGATTATTTTCTCTTGTTGTCAATTTAAAATGACGCTAATGAAAATAATCATAGACACAATTATAATTTTGAGAGTAATAGAATGAATAACAATGTATTCTAAGTATTATTATCATTAATATCATGGATGCTGTTGTGCTGTTGTTGGTTTTATAACCAGCATTACTGACATTATTACTATCATCATTATCATTATGATCTTCAGCTTCCTTATTATCATTCTATCTTTCTGTTACTATTATTATTATTGTTATTATTCTCCTTATTCATACAATTACCAATATTATCATTATAATATTACAATTTCCATCATTACTGTCATTGCCATCCTCATTATTGATGTTGTCATTATTGCCAACATCAATATTTATGTTATCATTCTTTCCATTATCATTATTATCATCATTACTATTATCCTTATCATAATTGTCATTACTGTTATTACTGTTATTTTTATTGTTGTCAGTGTTACCATTTTCTTTATCATCATCATCATCATCATCATAATTATCATCGTTATCATCATCACTGTCATCATTATGGTCATCATCATGGTCGTCATCATCATCATCATTATCATTGACATTATCATCATCGTTATTATTAATATCATTATTATTATTATTATTATTATTATTATTATTATTATTATTATTATTATTATTATTATTATCAATCATCATCATCATCATCATCATTAATTTACTGTTATTAATATCATATTCATCATCCTCATCATTAGAGCAATGATAATGATGGTCATAATAATGATAAAAACGATAATAATACTACAGCTACTACCACTATTAATAATAACAATTGCAATAACGATAACGATAACGATGACACTGATAATAATAATAATGATAATAATAATCACCATCATCATCACTATCATATTATCTTCATCCTCACCCTCATTATCATTATCAGTTAAAACCCTATGAATTATCCTTCAGTTTAAAGCCAGTGAATTTTGTCCCTCAAAATCAGTTACACAATTTTCTCTGTCATGTTTTACCTTCAATGGATACACTATGAGAAATTCTTGCACCACGAGAATCAAGTCTTTCTCTTACTAGTTCATAAAGTGCCCCACAGTCAGATCTGCTAGCTCGTCTAATAGTAACTTGACTCATCTTAGCCGGAGCTACCTGCAAAAGTAAAGACAGGCAATGGTTAGTGGTTTGGAGAGATAAATCTTATAGACGTTAAAGGTCATATAAGAGTATAGTATACTTTTCATATGCAGAGGTTTGAGGGGTAGAAATCATACGCAAACCATATCGTGAACAGTACAATTTATTCAACAAAATAATTGATCATTTGAAACATCATATAACAAATCAGTACAGAATTAGTAATGAACAGGAAACCCAATAACTTTAGTGCACTCTCCAGATGCTTTTAAACTATAGCACCGTCAGGAGGGTGATCTCACACACAGCACAGTGCCTTGCCCTCCGCCAGCCCAGCCGTCACTGCTTACGCACTCCTGGCGTATACATGCACACACTAGCGTTGCCATACAGAGGCCTAATAACTGTCAATGGTTGCAAGTCCAAACAATCATCAGCAATAGAGTGGCGTGCTTAAGCGACATGTAAATCTGACAATTAACAATACATTGTCATATTTCTGTACAAGCGTATAATTAATCAATTAACACAAAAACTATACGCTAACAGGCATTCTTCTCGGTAATTCGAGTAGGATTACTGTGGCACTATTCTGTCATTCAATACGCAATACTCTAAGCGAGCATTCAATGCGTTGAGCGTAACAGTAGCACGCTGTGGGAGAGAATGGTAGTGAAAAGGGTATAGAGGGGGAGTTAATGGAATGCAATGGAGATTTGTAAATGGGGATGTGGTTAGAGGTCTAAGGCGATCAGATCAAATGGAGTCTGAGGAGGGGTGAGTACTATTGTACGAGGAAACTGCAAAAGAGCTATCGTGAAACAATAAGTGGGTGATACGGTAAGAAACGATAGATGTAGAAGTAGGAGAAGAATCCAGAGAATGAAATAAGGGAACATGGGAAAGTGGTGTAGGAGATGATGGTAGAAGATGGAGTGGAACGTTTAGATTGTCTGGTGCGACAGGTAGAGTGAGAAGGAGAGGTAGGCACCGGGGAAGTGGAAGAGATTGGAGTACTTGGATTTAGACTGGAGAAGGAATTTGACTGAGGGAGAGAGGGAGTAGAGATGGGATGGTTCGGAGTAGAGGGAAGAGATACTTGGGGAGATGCTGAGACTTCCTGAAAAGATGGGAGGGGAACGAGCGAAGTACAGTTTTGGAATAGGTAGGAGAAAAACCTTGTTGGTATGTTTCTTGTCTAGCCTGATAGAGTGAGGAGGAGGACAATAAGGATGAAAAGTAGTAATAAGGGGGGAGGGGGTAGACAATGAAGAGGACTTTGCAGTAAAAGATGGAATGGAGGATGTTGGGAGAGAGGAATCGGTGCAGTCTGAAGGTTGAGTTATAACCTAGGTCTATGATTCGGAATGGATAGAGTTGATCGCAGACATTGAGGAGGAGGTATTAGAATCAGTCAGAGCCGTGGTGAAAGGGGAGGCAGAGGTCAGGAAACAAATTAAATCAAATTTAGATAGGCTAGTTGATTAAGGGAGAAGCCGTAATACCCCTAATAAGGATAAAACATCATCATTATTGGCCATGGTGAGCCTTGAAATAATTGGGGGGAGGAAACGCTCTACCCCTCAGAGCCCCCATGAGGGATAGGGGCTAGACAATTAACCAAGGGAATACCGTGCCCGGAGGCCGATCATGACTTACACAAAGTCAGCCTTTCATCCTTTCAGCACGGCTCTCACACCTTGAGAGTGGACAGAAGAAGGGAATGATGAAGAAGAGAAAGTAAAGGGAAGGGAGAGAAGAAAAGACCATACAAAATTAGTTACGGCGAGAGCTGACGTCCCAGGTAGGGGTGATCTCCTATATCTCCTACACACACACACACACACACACACACACACACACACACACACACACACACACACACACACACACACACACACACACACACACACACACACACACACACACACACTTATATATACGCATCCGTATAAAAATAATAATCATATAAACTCAATAAATTCCTCCACTGCCATAGGCCTGGACAATGGACCTAGTTGCCATTAATGAAAGACATAATAATACATGAATGAATAAAAAAATATATATTAATGATAACCTAAATAATAAGCATTTTATTAGGGAATGAAGAATGAACAATCACTATGTGTATAAATAAATATATGTATATATATAAATGCATGGAAGTATATATACACTTCACGAGTTCCTCTTCATACGAAAAATAAGCCAAAAATGGATACAAGGAGAGAATTTTGACAAGAATATATAGTGGTTGAGAGACAGAACGAACAGATCTCTGGCATATCTAACATCCCGTTTATGTTCATTGATTCTTTTTTCAAAAGCTCTACCGATATCGTATATATACCGGGAGAAGTCCCAAGAACACCGTATTGTGCAACGTGTTTGGATACGTAAACACAATGTCAATTCCAACGACTTTAAACATGTGACGTTTCTCATCGAGGGACGGGTTATACGGAATAATTAGTAGATTATTGCCACTGTCCTGTTGAGTATTACGGGAGTGAGTATAAAATTTCCATCTTGCAGATGAATGGGCCTGATTTAATTAAGAAAAAGCGCGGATATCCTAATTTCGAAAATGTTTCAAGTATGACGTCAATTTCACGATCGATAAATTCTGTATCACAAATCCTATATGCCTTTAGAAACATGGACGAGACTACTGATTTCTTAACATACAACGGGTGATTCGAGAAAAAATGAAGATAATTAGCTGTATGAGTAGGTTTACGGTAAACCGAAAATTTAAGCGAGCCATTTACATTGAATAAAAGGACGTCGAAAAAAGGTAATTTACCTGAATCTTCCCATTCTACTTTAAGATTAATAGTACGTGCGGGGTTGTTGAGTTTACCGAAAAAACTCATCGCAGTTTGAACGGTTCACTTGCCATAGAGAAAAAGTATTATCAACATCACGAAACCAAATCGTGTAGGGAGGGAGAATCATATATACATTCGCAAGGACATGGCTCCCTATCGCGATATATATGTATGTATGTATATATATATATATATATATATATATATATATATATATATATATATATATATACTTATATATATTATATTTATAAACTTAAAAATATATTTATATTTAAATATTTATGTATATTTATATATTTATTTCTATATATGTATATTTATATATTTACTTCTATATGTATATGTATATACATATGCATAACCATATATCTATACATATATATATATACATATACATATATCTATCTATCTATATATATATATATATATATATATATATATATATATATATATATATATGTGTGTGTGTGTGTGTGTGTGTGTGTGTGTGTGTGTGTGTATATATATATTAATATTCATATATATTTACATATGTACATATATATTTATATTTATATTTATATTCATATTCATATATATATAAATTCATATATATATATATATATATATATATATATATATATATATATATATATATATATATATATATATATATATATTATATATATATATATATATATATATATATATATATATATATATATATATATATATATATATATTATATATATATAAATATACATATATACATATATGTATTCATATATTTATATTCACATTCATATACACATAATTATAATATATATTTATATATATATATATATATATATATATATATATATATATATATATATATATATATATATATATATACATACAGGTACATATATTACGCATAAAAATACTGAGGATCAACCAGACACTGAAGCAGTGCTCCATGAGTATACCAATATACTCTACAGTCCTCAGAATTATGTGGGCCTTATACTGATACTTCATCGTAACCTCCCACAGTTAAGTAAATAGTGAAAGGGACAGCCATACCAATTACAGTCTTCATACAGGATTGATCCACCACTGATCATATGAACATGGATAAAGAAGTTAACAGAGGGAGGACTTCAGAGATGAGATGATTTATCAACCCAATGCCGCCGGGGAAAATGAATAAAAAAGTGGGAAAATTCTGTGCTCATTAATTCTGTGCTCATTTTTTATATATATTTTTTTAAGAACAAAAAAGATATGTAAAGAGAGACTTACCTTTTCTAATGGAAATGTAAAAGCAATCTGTATACACAAACTCTTCAGATACATTTTTATTTTCTAATATATACATAACAATAAAAATCAAATATAAGTATAGAGCATTGTTAAGAGTAAGTAACTTCTTACTTCCAAATAATAAGACGTAGGTAGAGAAATTATAAACACTTGTTTACTATGAAGTATAAAAAAATATAGCTCAATTTATTTTTCATTTAGCTCAATAAATGTAATGACAACAAGCAAAAAAATGTGGACAGCCCCCAGATTTACTTACAAGGAACATTTTCCAACAGACAAGTATGGATAAACTATATATCAAAATAAGCATATTTTGTGTATCTATCGTGCCATGTCCACATTAATTTTAGTTCTCACAAATCTTTAAGAGCTCAGTTATCAAGGAGTCAATTATTTGTCCTATCCATCTCACCAGTTTACCCTTTCCTTTGATTTTTAGGAAGACCTTTCAAAATTATTTTATTTTCATAGTTATTAGTATTTGAATAACATTCTATTAAACATGATGTTAATAATAATATTGACAGTATCATTATCAATAGCATTAGAAAAAACACATTTTGAAACAAATGCAAGGAATAGGAAACTCATTCACAGTTACTAGGACCTATTAATTGACTACTTGATGGCTGAGCACTTGTGGAGCCATCTTGCAGCAAAATTCACAGAAAACTACAATGAATAGTACATAAACCTCAGCAACTGGGTCGAATGCTGGCATGTTTTTATTTTCTTAATCCACTGGGATAGCATATCTACATACTCTTTCAACAGTTATTTTTATTTATTCTTATTTAAGCAAAAATGGCTACAGTAGCACATATGCACCAAGGAGTCAAGAAACTAGTCCATCTAACTTCACCTATTTCTTCTATCCTTGAATTTTCTGAAAGGTTTTTGGTTGAAATACTGTTTTTTTGTTGTTAAAATAATAATAATGATAACAATAGTAACATTAGTAATGATGACAACAGAAGTATATAAAAAAAAAAGGAAATTCGAGTAATGTTGTAAATAAGTGCAATCAGGTAGGACTAATAACTGACTCCTCGATAACAAATAGACCAGGAGCCCAGGGGGGTCAACCTATGTGGAGTTCATACCAATTTTCATGCATATGTTATTATTGCATATACCTTAAGAATATCAGAAATGGGCATCTGGCAGTGTATGGCTGGTGGGTGTGGCCAGCACGACTTATTAATGAATGACTTATTTATGAGGTAGATTATACCTTATTTATACCAATTCAATTTACTCTAGATTTGTTCCCCTCTATCTAAGGGTACCTGTGATGCAAATGCCAGACATTTTTAGTGGTGGGTGTGGTCAGCCAGACAAGATAATTAGCATCCATAAAATGAGCTAGCCTAGCTCATGTTCATACCAAATGAAACTTACTGCAAATTGTTCAGCACATTCCTCTCTATAAGAAATGACCACTGCCAGACATTTTCTGTGGTGGGTGTGGTCAGCCAGACACCCCCTAGTGCCACACCACCTAAAATAAGCTAGCCTAGGTTATGTTCATACCAAATGAAACTTACTGCAAATTGTTCAGCACACTCCTTTCTATAAGAAATGACCACTGCCAGACATTTTCTGTGGTGGGTGTGGTCAGCCAGACACCCCTTAGTTCCACAACCCCTAACATAAGCAAGCCAAGCAAATCGCCAGCCCATTCCCTCTGAATGAAACAGACTTTTAACAGACTTTTTTGATGGGGTTCCACCAGCCCAGTGTTTAACCTCAGGATTAAAAGTTGGATAAGCCATTATTCCATTTAGTGAGAAAAACCTTAATTGCCAAACATACCCTATTGTCTTCATAGTGACTTTATTTACCTTAGTCTTATGGCCTGAGGCAAATAGGTATACATATGACCAATTACCATTGCTGCTACATTTAGCTTGTCTACACTTAGCCATGTTGATGTCCACTATTTTCGAGTCTGTGAACTTTCTTTAAAAAAGTGACAAAATATCGATTTTTGCCGATATTAGAAGGAACAAGGAATTAAGTAAAGGTATGTATTTCCTTTTATTATTTTCTTTGCAATTATTGGTATGTGAACCATGATTTGATTGGACATTCTTATGAACAATTTCCTAAGAAGGGACCTACTATGTTGGGCTACATTGTAACATATCCAGTCTGCGTGTCATGATTGAACCCTTGCTCATTAAATTCAGTCAATAGTTCTCATGATAAGGACCAGGTCATGGTGCCTTCACTGACTCTTTACGTATCTAGCAAGAGATTGCGATGCAGCATTCCCCATGCCCACCCTAGACAAAACATGAAAAAGCCCTTCTTCCCTCGAAACTGCACACCTGCTAAAGACTAAGATTGTATTCTCCTAGTAATGTCTCAATTATAGATGTGTCATGTACAGGCCTAATAAAGTACATTGGATCTTGTTTCAGAGGTTGTGAATCCATGTAAAGTCAGTATGGATTCAGAATTAGAGGATGACACCCTACTGACCTCAACAGCTGAAATGACAAGTGTACCACCATCTCCCAATGAAAATGATGTTGAACTGGTAAGTGGTGTATTATAAATAAATATCTAGCCATTGCGATCCTAAATTCTGATTATGATTGCCCCCTCCCACTCCAAAAGGACAAGAGTGGACGTTTCACCAACCTCTTCATCAGTATGGGTCAAAGGGACAGTATCGTTGATGAGAATGTTGCCTCTGAATTCGTTTGTGAGCTGTATGGATTGGGCAAGGTTATTGGTGTGAATGATGCTCACTACAAGATGCTACAGATGACTGGCAAGATTGATAAGGTCAGTGTGCATGACCAGTGCATTTAACAATTTAGACAGAGGGCCTTTCGCACTGTGTCTAAATTGTTAAATGCACAAGTTAAAAGCCAAGAACCAATACTGTTTTTAGCAGCTGTGCTTTATCCCATTCTCGTTGTCTTTCAGGAGGATCCACTTGCAAATATCAAGAAGGTAGATTGTTCCCTTTTGCCACCAACACAGAAAACACTGGAGATGAAAATTTTGAGGACTCGTTATGTCACCATGCTACGGAGTCATGCTGATAAACCATGCCCCGGAAATGGTCTTTCCCCTACTGATTACGGATGGTGCTTGAAGGACAATGTACTTGAACCTGTATGGTTCAAGGGCCGAGCAATTCCAGATAGTTTGTTTAGGAAGAAGGGTGAAACCACACAGGCTACCAATGAGGCCAATGAAGAGACAATCGTTGTCAGACAAATAACTGATGGTGGGGACGAAGGGCCAGTTGCAACTGCAGAGGCTACTGACTACAACACTGATGAAGAGACAATAATTGGTGATGATATAGACCTTGAGTACGCTGGTGAACCTGCTTTGTTTGACAATGAAATGAGTGGACCATGGAGTGGAGACTCCGACTCTGATCTAGAGGATGATGATTGAAACAATATGGCTGCAAAATAATGCCAAACAGAACTTAAACTGATTATGATTGCCCCCTCCCACTCCAAAAGGACAAGAGTGGACGTTTCACCAACCTCTTCATCAGTATGGGTCAAAGGGACAGTATCGTTGATGAGAATGTTGCCTCTGAATTCGTTTGTGAGCTGTATGGATTGGGCAAGGTTATTGGTGTGAATGATGCTCACTACAAGATGCTACAGATGACTGGCAAGATTGATAAGGTCAGTGTGCATGACCAGTGCATTTAACAATTTAGACAGAGGGCCTTTCGCACTGTGTCTAAATTGTTAAATGCACAAGTTAAAAGCCAAGAACCAATACTGTTTTTAGCAGCTGTGCTTTATCCCATTCTCGTTGTCTTTCAGGAGGATCCACTTGCAAATATCAAGAAGGTAGATTGTTCCCTTTTGCCACCAACACAGAAAACACTGGAGATGAAAATTTTGAGGACTCGTTATGTCACCATGCTACGGAGTCATGCTGATAAACCATGCCCCGGAAATGGTCTTTCCCCTACTGATTACGGATGGTGCTTGAAGGACAATGTACTTGAACCTGTATGGTTCAAGGGCCGAGCAATTCCAGATAGTTTGTTTAGGAAGAAGGGTGAAACCACACAGGCTACCAATGAGGCCAATGAAGAGACAATCGTTGTCAGACAAATAACTGATGGTGGGGACGAAGGGCCAGTTGCAACTGCAGAGGCTACTGACTACAACACTGATGAAGAGACAATAATTGGTGATGATATAGACCTTGAGTACGCTGGTGAACCTGCTTTGTTTGACAATGAAATGAGTGGACCATGGAGTGGAGACTCCGACTCTGATCTAGAGGATGATGATTGAAACAATATGGCTGCAAAATAATGCCAAACAGAACTTAAACTTGTTATATTTTAGATTTGGCGCATTTGAAAAACACAGTGAACAGTTGAATGCTGGATGTTTTATTCCAAACTGAAATCAATGTTTTTTTTCTGCAAGTAAAAATGATTTATTTTTCCCCTTGGGTACCCTTTACTTTGAAAAGAATTTTACTTATTTTGTGATTTCAGTACGTAAAGTGTAACTGATGAAAGTCTACTACACTGAGTTTTTTATTTCCAATAGTATTCTATATAGCTCATGTTGGAGAAGTGGTAATACCTTACCACTGATACTTTTAGAACATTCATGAAAGGTATAATGCCCATTTCAGAGTGCTAAGTATTTTGTAAATTTTGAGGGTTGTCCAATCAAATCATTGTTCAAATACCACTAATTGCCAAGAAAATATTAATAAAAGGAAATACATACCTTTACTTAATTCTTAGTTCCTTCTAATATCGGCCACCAGCCATACACTGCCAGATGCCCATTTCTGATATTCTTAAGGTATATGCAATAATAACATATGCATGAAAATTGGTATGAACTCCACATAGGTTGACCCCCCTGGGCTCCTGCTCTAAAAGCATATGTGAAAATATATAAGTAAAAAGAATATTAATAAAATAAAATGAATGGGATGTTCTTCTGCACCACACAAAAAGAAATCGAAGAACATCACACAAAAAGAAATCACAGAACTATATCCAAAAATACACAAGACTTTCTCATCATGTTCTAAATTAATAGTGCCTCACTTTTTTCTTTATATTACAGTCAATTCATATCACAGGTCCTGTATTCATTAATTCTGATGCTACTCTGTAGCTTACCTTTTGTTTTTCTTTTTTAATTTTATAAATTGTTAAAGCCTTCATATCAGTTTCATTTTACAGAGAGAAAAGAAGAGATTCTATCGAGTAGTATTCACAAAATAGAAATATTTTTTGTGCAACCTTAGTGCCAAGGTTGGTTCCCACAGTTGGCTTCATCTTGATGATAGTTAATTCCTGAAGGATCATGGCTGAACCACTCATAAATGATGTGTTGCCGGTAGGATTCTCCCTCTGGGTCATAATCTCCTGTGTATCTGTCCTGAGGACCATCATCAGGAGCGTACGATGCTTCAGAGTCATCAAGAGGACCCTGGCGTTCCAGAGCAAAATTATGCAATGCAAAGCAACTTAATATGATTGCACATGATGTTTTGGGATTTGATCTGAGCTCCTGGCTTGTGCAAGGAAAGCGTCTCTTCACTATTCCAATGACATGCTTCACCTTCCTTCTAGTGGCAGAGTGTGCTCTATTGTAACACTTCTCTGCATGTGTCGTTGGGTTGACCACAGGTGTTAGGAGGTATCTCTGACACTGATAAGCAGAATCGCCAACCAAATGTCCATATTCCCCTTGCTCCATGACTTCTTTTAACCGAGAGTTCTCGTATATCTGCCAATCTGGTACACTTCCTCCCCAGCGAACAATTGCCCTAAGAATTCTAAGATCTGGACCAGCTACAACCTGGCAATTAACAGAGTACCAGCCTTTGCTATTTTTGCACTGTTCTGCCATTGCTCCTCCTGGATTTGAGATTCGCATGTGAACGCAGTCGATGGCTCCAATAACATTAGGAAACTGTGCAACTTCATAAAATCTGCAAAGAATGATTGGTTTAAATTTTTTTTTTCAGTATGTATGTGTGTGTGTGTGTGTGTACATATACGTATACGCAAACGTATATCTATATCTATATGTATATATATAGGTGAATGGTGAAAATACTCTACCATGTTGAAGCTAATGTATACGTATAAATACCTATATCTATATATCTATCATCTATCTATTTTTCTATCTATCTCTCTATATATATATACATATGCATATATGTATACATACATATATATATTATATATATACATATACACATACATAAATGTGAATATGTGTGGTAGGGGGGGGAGGGGGAAGGATGGATGGATGGATGTGTGTATGTATATATATGCATATATGTATATATATATATATATATATATATGTGTATGTGTATATATGTGTATATATATATGTGTGTATGTGTATATGTAATAAAATATAAAAATACATATGTATATGTGTAAATATAGATGTATAGGTGTAGGTATATATATGTTTATGTATATGTATATGCATATGTATATGTATATGTATATGTATATGTATATGTATATGTATATGTATATGTATATGTATATGTATATGTATATGTATATGTATATATATATATATATATATATATATATATATATATATATATATATATATATATATATATATATATTCATATATATATATACATATACACATATATACATATTTATACACATATATATTCAAATACATATATACATATATATTCAAATACATATATACATATATATTCAAATAAATATATACATATATATATATAATTCATATATTCATTATATATATACATATATATATATATATATATATATATATATATATATATATATATATATATATATATATATATATATATATATATTACCAATACTGAATTAAAAATACTACATCATAAAGGATCACTAATTCTTAACAGATTCTATTATTTATTACCTTGACAACATTCACATATTCAACCAGACACTGCCAAAAACAAATAATGTCCACTGTAGTTTTGTTTTGTGAGATGAGTTTACACACAGAAGGGTCCACATGTGTTCAGCAACCAAGGAGTCAATTAGTAAACCTCATGACCTTAGTTTTCTTTTTTTCTAATTCTATTAAATAAGGATGGTGTTGTTATCATAATTAACATTATGATTATTATAAGGTTTTCAACAATACTAATGACAATGTAAAATAAGAAATGTTATCCAAAAATAAAAGGAAATGGCAAACAGTTGAGGTAGGTAGGCCAAGTGACTAATTCCTTAGTAACTAAACACTTGTGAAGGCATTTTTGTTTAAACACAACTATTAAACAAAAATTACAGTGGGCATGGCATATGCATCCCTGACAGTACAGGTTAAATAGTAATATCACAATTTTAACAGTATGCCAGAACTTTCATAACTACTGAACCATGCCTTAAGAAATAAACTCAGGTTCATAAATCCAAAATACTCACTTGGAATGAATATCAGCAGCTTCTTGCAGAGATGGAAACCTCACAAACTGACTATAGCGTTTAGCCAGGGCTTCTGAAACTCTGTGGATGGTCCTGCATACTGTTGGCTGACTGACCTGTAAACCATGTTGATCCCCAACAACTTTCTGCATAAGAGTAATAAAAAATTAAAATAAGATTATTACAATGAAAATGAAAAGTGAGAATAATGTCTATTTTTTATGCATGACAAATATATTTTAGACTAAAGCATCAGGTCATGAAAGAATTGGTTGGGGTGACAGGAATTTGCTGTCATGGAAAATTTTAGCTGAGGGCTAGGATGATAGGAATATGCTGTTATAAAAATTTTGGTTGAAGGCCAATGACAGAAGACTCTAACCTGGTAAGAGCCACTGCAGTAGAAGTGAAGGGCAATTAAAAGTTGATAGACAGCTGGCAGTGGCCTACCACGGTTGTCTGAACGTTCAAGGTCTCCTTGAATCATGTTTAACAAATGACAAAAGGACTCTTTGGAGAATCTGGAACCATAAAACATAACACATTGTGAGTTTATCCACATAAATTAATAAAATGATTCTGAGAAAATTGTTAATAACACTATGCAACAAAATTTTGGGAAAGTTTTGTTTATTTTAATTTTTAATCATTGTTATATGTAATTTTGCTCGCTGATTCCAAAAATCACTTCATTTTTGCTCTATCATCAATAGTTCTGTCATAAATGGAAGAAAACATGTTTTTATATTCTCACCAATCTAACCAAAGTTCAAAAAAATCATGTTTGACCAAAAATCAAAAAATAATATGATTATATAGGTACTACCTTAATTAGAACAAAATGGTCTCAGAATACAACAAAACCACCAGAAATTAGAAAAACAATTGCATTTTACACACTTTCTACATCTGAAATTGAGAATCATAATTACACTAGAAGTGAATGCTTGAATATGCTTTTCTTTTGTGCACAGTTGGGTCATCTCGAATCAAACTCCACACGTAGTCGCCCATCATAGATTCATTCCATCTTCCCTGATATCACTTCTCCATAGTTAGAATTTCCTGATGAAACCGTTCACCATGCTCTTCTCTCACGGCTCCTAAATTTTCTCTGAAGAAGCCCAGGTGCGAATGTAAGTAGTGTAGCTTAACTGACAGCCTTTTATTCTATAACATTCAATTAACTTTTCTCCCAGTTCCTTGTAGTTTTCACTTTTGTTATTTCCCCAAAACCCTTTCACTATCAGCCGAAAAGCTTGCCATGCATTTTTTTCAACACTTGACATTTTGTTTTCCAACTCTTCAGATGCTAACATCTGTCTAATTTGTGGCCCAATGAAAATGCCACCTTTGACTTTGGCCTCAGACAAGTTTGGGAACATTAAGCGGATATGTTTGAAGGCTTTGCTTTGTGGGCTTAACACTTTCATAAAATGTTTCATAAGCCCAAGCTTTATGTGAAGTGAAGAAAGTAATATTTTCTCTCTTTGAATCAGAGCATTGTTAAGTACATTGTGTGTACCAGGAGTTAATTCACTTCTGACAGGCCATTCTCTTCTGTGATAGTGTTCTGCATCTGCTCTACTGTCCCACAGACAGAGAAAACAAGAATACTTTGTATAGCCACCCTGCAGTCCAAGCAGGAATGCTAGCATTTTGAAATCTCGACATACATCCCAATTGTGCCGTGTGTAATTGAGCATGTTCATCAAAATCTTGACATTTTCATAGTCTTCCTTCATATGAACAGAATGTCCCACCGTAATTAACGGATGTTTGTTGCCATTGTGGAGCAAAACAGCCTTAAGACTTGTGGTTGAGCTGTCAATAAATAAACGCCATTCAGAAGAGTTGTATTCAATGCCTATTTCACCAAAAAGACCGGCAACATCAGAGCAGTAGCAAAGCAAATTGCCTTCCAAAACTTTGTAGAATCGGGGAAAAGTCACATGCCTTTTTCTGTACACAGAAGTCTTGCAACTAGGATCTAATAAATTCCACTCCTTTAAACGGGATGTTAAGATCTCAACTTTTTCCTTGGTAAGGCTTAAATCCCTGACTAAGTCATCTAGTTGTGTTGTGTAGGAAAATGTGGGGAGCTGCTTGATCTTGCTATATTGAATGTTTCATCCTCGCTATCTTCAGATTCACCAGTTTCTGCAACCACTGGTAAGGAAGGAGGAATTGGAATAAGTAAATCTTCACAATGTGGCACGGGAGCAATAGAAGATGGAATGTTCGGATACACAACAGCAGTTCTTCTATCTTTGTACTTAGATATGTCAACAATGCAAAAGTAACAGTCATCATGGTGGTTCTTTGGTTCTCTCCAAATGCGAGGAATTGCAAATGGCATACACTTGCGACTGCCACATAACCACCCTTCCAAGGTTGACCGACAACTTCCACAGCACACATGAGGCGCCCATGGTTTGACCTGATCACCTATAGGCATGCCAAAATAAGCTTCATAAGCAATGACACACTTAGATCCCTGTAAAATAGGGTGCTTGGTCATCTTGGGGCTGATGTAATATCCGCAAACAAGAGCAAGAAATTTTCTGCATAGTAGAGAAATTTCAAATATAGCCCTACAAATATAAAACTTGACATGTTGTTTTTTCGAAAAAAAATATTGACATTATGGCCAAACCAAGGTCATATTCGTAATCAGCGTACTTTAGTACTTAAACATCCTAAATGTTACATAAATAAAATCTTGTTGCACAGTGTAATCAGTTTGCTGATATACTGGTAATATCTTCTGTAATTCAGTATAAAGATCTTAATCCTACATTACCTATATATGTCCTCAAATTCTTCATTAGTGTACTTAGAGAGAGGATCCCCTGGGTCTTGAAGCTCAGTGCTAAGCAAGAGCCACTGTCGATAGCGTCTCATACGTATTTCTCTGCGCAGCATGTCAGTTGCTGGCCTCCGTGATATTTGCTGTTGGAATAAAAATATCAATTCCACACATCACCTTTTATTTACAAAATGTTACATGCCTTCTCCATTTCTAATATGTGCTGGAAATTACAGAGAGGAAAATTGTTTCACATTACTCAATGGTATTTATTTTATACACTCTTTACCAAGAATGCCTGACTGCCATACAAGAGAATGGGACCTTTTACTTGGATCCCATTTGACTTAGTTTTTATGACAGTGCTTTATATGCTTACTTGATTACATTAAGCATATAATTCCAGATTTACAACTTTTCTAAATGAAAACAAACTATACCTGCAAATATAGACATACTAAGAGACCTATTTACCTGAAGTAAATTAACTATATAAGCATACCTACATAGATGTGGAACAAAACAGACATAACTTTACCTTACATAACATGAGTCCCAGTGATGAGAATTTATTCAAGACAACAATACGCCTACGATGAGAAGTGATGCTTAATACATTAAATGTTTAGAAAAAAAGCCTGCAGTGGTTGCCTTTTGATACATTTACATACCGGTAGGTTTGTCGTGAAAAATAAAAATTGGCATCAAATGTAAAGGTTATGTAATGAAGTCCCGTTGATTATATTAAATCAAATGCTAAAAACCCAGTTGATTACCCTACAAATAGATACTGAAACGCTGTTATAATCTTAAAATAAATGTAAGTCCTTAATTGTACAACTTTTTCAACACCTAAATCAATTAAGAGTACTTTACTTAACCAATCTTATTAAGAGAATTTCAAAAACATTCTCATCCTCCCCCTTTTTGTTGTTGGTGTTGATGTTCTCCTTGATAAAAAAAAAAAAATCTTTGCACCTAATAATTTTTTCCCGCAGCGATCGTCGTTGACAGGTTCGCTTCGTTCTTGTTGACACCTGCCAGGACTTGTTTATGTGCGGCATACGGGCGTATATATATATATATATATATATATATATATATATATATATATATATATATATATATATATATATATATATATATATATATATATATATATATATATATATTAATCTTAATACATTATGTGAATAAGAGAGCACGGGAAATGTTCTATCAGCTGAATTAATAAATATGTTCAGATTCATACACTAATAAATGCGCAGATACAACATTGTATGATAATGTGTGTGTTGCTGTTGTTGTTGTTGGTTGTGCCGCTGATGATGATGATATATATATATATATATATATATATATATATATATATATATATATATATATATAGTATATTATATATCATATATTATATATATATTATATATATATTATATATATTATATATATTATATATATATATATATATATATTATATGTGTGTGTGTGTGTGTGTGTGTGTGTGTGTGTGTGTGTGTGTGTGTGTGTGTGTGTGTGTGTGTGTGTGTGTGTGTGTGTGTGACTTAACACTGTGATACGACGACGAAAACGGTAGGGATAAGTGTTGTGAGTTCTACCTGATATTGGTATCTCTGACAGGGGGCGTCATCCGGGGAGGGGGGCAGGGAGGGGAAGTTAGGTTTGCATCTCTTGCAGTAGCTATGGATTGTTTTAAAAATAATAATAATGAAAATAAATAACCAAAAATAAAATTACTTACGGCAAGTAGTTATAACGACCACGCCCCCTTCCCAAACCATGTGAGGTGCGTTGCCAAAGTATCAAAGGGTTTTCACTGTCTCATGATATTCATGCACTTCAATGCAAGGTTGCTATTTGCCCTTCATATAGCACATTGCTTTGTAGAGCTGAATGACATTTACTTGATAATCTTCCTCCATCGTGCATCTAGGATGCCCACTTCTAGCCTTGTCTCTGGTGGAATCAGTTGCCTGGTGTCACTGGATCTACCGAGACAGTTGGATTCGAAATACCTGGGCTTTATGTTTCGGCTCTTGATAGTCCCTCAATTGTGACGCTACAAATGATCTATGAGGTCACCATTGTTAATATTGGCATGATACCAGGCCCTAGCCAAATCAACTCCGAAAGATTATTCGAACACTTTATGAAGCTTCATCTGTTCCGAGCTCAGAAAACAGCAGGTTCCAAATCCAAATCAACTCCTAGCGATCGTTTCGGTATCATCTACTCCCGAGTAAAGATATTTTGTTTAGCGAGTGTACCTGTGTGTGAGTGTGTGGGTGTACACATGCATGTACATATGCGTGTGTTTTTCTGTTTTTGAGTGTGTTCATTTTAGTGAAACTTTTACTCACCATTAGTCTCAGTACAGACATCTTCAAGCAAAACCCTGCACGGCTTTAATGAGCTTTGCCGCAGTAGCTTCAAGATTAAGAAGCCACCTTCCACGAAGTTCTGTTCTGGTCTTAGGGAACATCAAGACCAAGGTTTAGGGAAATCCGTATTTAGACCTTGATCAAGACATAGCAGAGGTCACTGACCACAGGACAGAGAGGCAGATGTAACTTGATGACACGCCATGCCGACACCGTCACATCAAAGTCTAGATAAGTGAACAAAACACAAAAATAGTAAAGATTATCAGACGAAGCTAATAATCGAAATGGATCAGTCCAATTCGGTTATCAGCTCATGACGAGTTTGAAACGTTACGTTCTTTCACAATTCATGTTATACCTATGTTTCCTTTTGTCTAGAGAAGTGCTTTTCTAGACCTTGTGTCACGTGTCTCCCATACGTTGTCCCTCACGCTCGGTCTTTGCAAGAAAACATGTCGGCGTCGCCTTCTCCGAAATGCACGAGCGGCGAATCTACAGACAGTGCCGCTCAGAGGCCAGATGACAGGGCCAGTACGCTAAAACAGTGCTTCTTTCATTGCTCAGATATGAGGACCCATGGGCTCGAGATAGATAGTACGCAGTGCAGCGATCTTCAAGGGGAAGGTCGGCGAAGTAAGAATGAAGACAAAGCCCAGAGTGTCCGCCAGGTGTGAAGCGATTGCGGCGCATGCTTAGCCTTGTTGGTGGAAGAGCCACATTGCAAAGTCGAGAGGGGTTGGCTTTTTTTTGTGAAATGTCTCTGCACATAGATGGCTCTGGTAGTGCAGGGTCACAAGGGAGTCAATTAGTAGAGTTTGTGACCTTACCTGATTTTAAGTGGCGGGAAAGATGTATTTTTTACTAGTGCTATGAATATCGATGGTGTTAATTTTATTATAAACATTATAATTACTTAATGCTATAAAGATTAGTAACAGCAAAATAAGATAACGTAAAATATTTTCGTAAATCAAAGAAAAGGTAAACGGACGGTACAGGCAGTACTCTTAATTGGCTCGTTGGTGACTTAGTACAAGTGTAGCCATCTATGTTTAAAAACAATCAAACAAGTAAACTCGCAGTGGGCATGACATACATGTACACGCCATTTCTGTCAGCATTGGGTTAAATAAGGACTGGTGGAAGAATCGACGCTCTTTCAGGATCTATAAGAGTTATGCTTGATTTTACGAATTGCGAGTCCTTATCTTATCTTATCAGGGCTTGATCCCCAGGGAGACGGAACTGAGGCAGCAACGGAGAGGCGCTTCCCATTTCGGGACTACAAGGAAAACTTGGGTCTGCTATAGTGAAGGTTGCCTGTGCATCTTTGCCTTTGTATCTGTAAGAAGTCCACTTAGAAGAATGAATGATATTGCAGTTGAGCATAGATGTGATCATACATGTCAAGGAATGGGCAAACTGTCATCTTTTTCACACTCCTGGACTTCTTAAATTTTAGACGAGGATCTTGTAACGGTGTTGTTCACATCTCGATAAATCACTCCATCGAAGCCACTCCAATCTGGTCCGTTTCTGACAGGTACGAGGGATCCACAAGCAAATCGCTTCACCATTCCGAGACTGCTGATTCATATATAATCGATGTTCCCTTTTCTAGTGATGTGTAGTCCCTAGAATCTTGGTAATAGTTTTTCTAGAATCCCCTTGCGTATCTTTCTGCACCGTAGCAGCATTCTCTGGAGTAACAGTTGTACTTTGGTATCTTCACTCGTTTCATCTTCAAGATTGCCGCGGACCCCTTGAATTCAGATAACCACTAGCGGATATGAGAAAGACAGTTGTTTCGATAAGTTTGTGTGTGGGTGTGTTGAAGTGAACATATGCATATATAATATAAATATGCATTTATGTTTGTATATATATTATATATATGTATGTATGTATACATGTTTGTATATATACATGGATATGTATATATCTACTCACACATATATATGTGTGTATGTATGTATATATTATATATATATATATATATAGAGAGAGAGAGAGACAGACAGACAGACAGACAGACAGGCATATATGTTGTTTTTTGTGTGTAGAAAAAGAATGGCATCATGGCGTTTAATACGTCAGACTGAGGCCTGTCTAAAAAACGAATCTTCGAAAAGGTTTTTAGAACTCTTCTCCGACGCCGTCATTTCATCCCAGCACCAGATACAGGGTAAGTAAATTCTCTTGTGTGTGTGAGTTTGAGTATGTATGTGTATAGGCAAGTGAATGTGTTACTGTGTGCCTCGTGAGCTATACTTGGTAATGGAATATGAACATAATTGAACTCCATATTTCAACAGTGGACAATATTAAACATAATGATTTGTGTTAAGTTATTGGACACTGTAAATGTATTATAAAGGTATCAAGTGTACTATGGATATATTCCTCAATCAAGTAAGGAGCCGCAGAAAGTAGACAGATTGTAGAGCCTTTAAGATTATGGTGAATGGTGACCATAGGGTGTATGGCAGACAACCAAAATGTATGTCATATTGCCATGTCATATTGTACAGTGATCCAAGGATAGTCATATATCACGTATTGAGCACATGATAGTCTGTAATGAAGAAGGAACACATTATTGCGGAAGGGGAAAGACAACACAACATTGGTATGTCTAGTGAAACTGGGGGAGGTGAATAAACAGGTAAACCAGTGAACATGCTTACATATGTATCTATGTATGTGAGAGATGTGTATTTGATAAAAATATATGAATTATATGAATCGTACAAATTGGTATATCATATAGAATATTACAAAAGATACATAGAATAACTTGAGAATACTTATTTTTAGTAATGTGAAATTGATATAGCTTGGGAAGGCTTGTGTCACCCGCTTTCAAAATGTATTTTCAATAACATTTGTATTCACTTAATAATATATGTACCACATGACACTGTTGCTTCAGTCGTATCTTCACGCATGTGTCCGCCGTAGTCATACAAGTTCTGCGTTCGACCTATCTGTGACTGAACACTCGTTAGATGCGAAAGCCAAAACAGGCCAGGTTTCTCTGTCGGGTTCCATTCTTCAGACCGTCTTGTTTATTTGTTTTCCGTTACTTGTTATGTACAACCTTCCTCCCTTTCTCTATATTTATACAAATGCCGTCACCTGCGTGGGGCACATCAGGCAGACAGACAGAAATCATACCTCATTTCATAGACTGACTCTTCTGTATGCAATTCTCCAATAAATTCAAGCTGGAAGATAGCTATCTCCTGCACCCTGCCGTATTGCCGGACACTAACACCTGTTGGACTGCAAATACATTCAACGTGCCGGCGAAGACTACAGTATAATATTTTAAATTATAGACTACAGGGATTACGGAACAGTCGGGCTCCCCAAATAGGCATAGCCCGGGCGAGGCTCGCTTCGCGAATCTTAAGTTGTTGTTGTTGATTACGGAAAATATACTGAGAGAGCGGAAGACACAAACAAAAAATAACATAGCAGATCAACTCTACTAAAATGGCTATCATTGCATAAGAAATCGAATTCCTCGGTTAACAATTGGGAAGATGAGAACAGAAATCGAACACTAACTATTTCCTTAAGCCTAATCCCTCGCCAGAAAATAACCCTGGGACCTGAGTCGAGTGTGT